CTGCGGTCCGTGTTTGTGATATGGTACCGACTGCATCCACATGGAACGCAGGCAAACAAGTTCTGGCTGCACTAGCCAAACCAAGCAACAACGAGAACTCGTTTCTGGTTCGCATTTAGTTTCGTCACCCCTATCTCCGATTTATTTGAACGCGGGCTTGCATGCTGGTTTGCTTTTGATGTCTAAAAACAGTTCACCATAAAATAAATCGGTTGACAGTTTCCAACCCTCCGTCTTCTTCATGTGACTCATTTTTCAAAACTTGAGATAGAGAGGGGGTTGTTGTAACTCAGCTGTGTGCACATATTTCGCCGACAGACCTTCCACTTACCGACTAAGAAATAAACCATGCAGAATTGGCGGTAACATTCAATCCACTAGCCCGCATTGTTAGGAATAGCATGAAATGGGTAAAGTTAGCGTATGTTGTGTAAGCACCACTGCTATCTGTTCCTTTTTTATTCATCATGCAACCGCTAACCGTGTTGCTCCGACACCACCAAATCGAATCATAAGGATCATAACCATTCCCCTAACAATAACTGATTCTATAAGACGCAATGCTGTTTTGTCACAAATAAATGGTGTAAGAAAAGATTGCGACGTCAACCATTGGGAAGTTTTAACTGGATTGAGATGAGGGGGTTTGTCAGGAGTGAACTAGAAGTTTTCATTAGAATGGAGCGAAGACAAATACATTTCTTTCATCTCCTCAATGGCTACAACAAAACATTCTGGTATTTATACAAGGAAGTTTTGATAGCCTACGTTTAATGGAAAGCAGTCAGGGGATAGGGAATCCGAATCATCCCCGCGGTAATTTGACTGATTGCGTTAGAAACTTCTACGCACACAAAATTGGATTACGTTAGTTGATTATCATCCCTTCGCTGAAGGCTAAGAGCCTTGGCTTCATTTTACCTAACAACGGCTTGAACTACAAAAGCGGGTCAACGATGTGTCTGTCCAGTTGTCATAAGATGCTGTGCGATTGATGACCCTGGATTTCTCTTATCAGATGAACCTCTGAGATTTTAATGCGTCATTGACTGTAATAACCATTTTTGAATGTGTTCGGACATCCGTTGTGAGAGCGGTCGATTTGTTCTACCGACGTAAGTCACCACATGTGCAGGGGAAATGATAGATAACGTGTGAAGCACAACTGGGCGGAAGGCTCTGTTTAAGGTAGCCCAGGTGAATTTCCTGGGTGTAAGGTATAAAAAAAAAACTGTGCGACAGGAAATGTTCGACACAATGCCACCTAGAAGGCCAGTCTGAGTAAGATGTATTCCCTCGGTACTTCCTAGATGGGATCAACCGGTGGTCTTTGTTTGCAATGCATATCAATAAATTCCTCCGGATAATCATTATCCAGTAGCGTCCTTCGTAGAAAGGTCATTTCTACTTGAAGTGTGTCAGGTGAGCAAATATTCGTGGCACAGGGTTTTCACCGGAACTTTTTGTATGCCACGGAAACAACACTAACAAATTATAAGTAGTGTCTACTCAGTGTGGTCCTCCGATAGACAAATCGTTGTATGGTCTCATCTGATTGCATCCTGATTTTCGTAGCTCAGCAGTTCAAACAGCTATCCTTCGCCACCTACAGGGAAATCGAGAAGTTGGGTTAAATAGTATTATTCTGTGCAAAAATGTTCTTAAAATGATCGGTAAAAATCGAAATATCAACGATACAACGTTTACACAAACCATCCTCTGAAATAGTATCCTGCAATCGTCTTTCAACTATTCCTGGAAACACCCGACAATTTTGAACCCAGAGGACTGCTCATTCCTATACCGTTAATATTATTTTGTGCCTTTACTTCAAATTGAAAAAGTATGTTCGCAGTGCAGATAATGATAATGATAAATAATGATGATAATAATAATGATAAATAATGGATAAGAATGGGAAGATGAATATTCATTGAAAGCGCATAATCACATAAAACCCCGACTGCTACATGGAGGGGAACGTTTGTAAAATGAAAATTAATATCAATAGAAGACAACTTGTTTGAGGAAAAATTCAAATTATCTAATAAATATACAAGTTCAAAAGAGGACTTAACATAATGGGGTGTCGGAACTTTACGAGTGGGGTCCAATACATCAATTAACCATGAAGTCACCTTATGATATGTTGAATTCCGCACGCGCAGCTTGACCTGAGTGAGCCACCGACTTTGTGGACCTTGAGTGAACGCCTCATTTTGCATTCCTCTGTTCCCGTGGGTTTCAGATTTCTATATTGAGCATCAGAAACGTAACCAAGCAGTAACAGGATTTGAAGCTTCCGGGTGAATATTTCTTCCTCAAGGTTGTTATAAAATTGTGGAGTTTGGATTCCAGCACTGCGTTGGGTCGTTTGACGATTGAGCTATGTCGAAACGTCACTCAACGCTCATCAGTATAATACATTTCGGTCAGTGATATCCTCAGTAAGGTGTCACACAAAATCTCCTGATTGGAGTTTTCTGAGGGAGTCTAACTTCAAGGTCCAAGTATCCTATCATCGCAGGCTTATGATGTTTCTACACCTCTCTAAGATAGCTGAGATTTCAGTAGCGTTTACTTCGAATCGGATTAGACAGTGTCTGAGAATTGAAAAAGCAAACAGCATTTACTATGCCTAGTAAAAAAGAAATGGTTTTGACTAGATATGCGTTGAAAATTTGATTGACTAAATAATTGTTTGCAATGCGAAATAACGGATATTGAAGACAAAACATCAATTTTCCGTATTTATTCACGTCGTCTGCGAGCTAGTGACCCGGACCACTACGCATGTCATTTATTTTCTTGTGATTAACTCCGAGGTTGTGCACTATAGGGTTTTATAGTGAATTGATTTCTCCGCAGTTCAAATATGTTAGATTAATTCCGTCCAGGGGCGTTACGTCATTGCAAATGTATAAAATATCGAGAATGGTTTTTTTCACATTGGGTATTGAGGAAAACTTCATGTTGATTTATTGGTAATCCATAATCACACAATAAACAAATGTAGGTGGATGGGATTTACGGAGTTTGAACTGTGCAACGAACCGCCTCCGCAAAGTCACTAACTCACTTCCTAATGTGAGTGTGCCGATTCTCAAGTTTTCAGTGCAAAATTTTCCTTTTTCCACAAAAGATTTGTTTTTCTTTTCACTTGCGGGTTTGATTCCCATTTGGGTCGATGGATTCGCATTACTCATAAAATCAAGTTAGGTCGAAATATCTGTTCAGTGCTTTCTAGCTTTTCAGTTCACGCTTCATTTGCTCTGTGCATGACGAAATTCATCATAATTATTTTTAAGTAGACAAACACCTATCCATCTCTTTCTTAGTCTGTCATGAGGCGGAAGATGATGACACTAAAAACGACATAAACTCAATAGAGTTGTTATTATATTGGTTGAAATGGTATGGCGAAAACAGTGTTCTTGATGGAATATTGATCAAATCAAACTGAACAACTCAGTTCCTTCCTTAACATTCTGTTTCATTCGTGAAGAAACCATACAATGGTACATTCTTTTTTATGGCATGCATGTGAATGTAGTTGAAGCGGTTTACGTAGATATGCTATGAATAGGCAGGTTAAGGCAAAATTCGAATTGATTCTGTGTCTAAAGGTAAAGTTTTTAAGTTGGAGGGAAGATGAAACGAAAGTCAGAGCTCCAGAGTTGTGCATCTGTTGGGAAGAAGGTTGAACCTTAGGCGTAAGAATAACCGCCTGAAATCATTGGCTAGCGGCTTGTGCATAAGACCTATATACTTGGAGAAGCATGTCTCCCGGAGGGGAGAATGGAAGCAGTAAATTTAGCTAAACAAAGAACAAAGCTGTACTGATAGGCTGAGGATAGCCAAACTACTGCTCAGTTGTGGGCAACTTGCGTGCCAGGTACGGGTTGTTGATATGGCCTTAGCCTGAACCCCATCTCAGAGAGAGAGAGACAGAAGTGAACGGAGCTCCACCCCGAAACACGAATACGTTGTACAAATGTATGAAGAATCCGGACTTCTGTGAAGCGAGGGGAAGTAAATAGACATCTATGATGCCAAGGCGAATGCCTATATTGTGCTGTGCGAGAGTACGTCGAAGTTGTTGAAATAGGTAGGGGAATGGAAGCCGTCTGTGTCCGCATTTACTGTGGAGATGCGTATCCTTATGCATGAGAAACGGACATAAGGGAATTCGGTTACCAGCATCAATCTACGTCATCAGTTTACTCTCACTAATGGAATTCATCACAATTTTACTGGACATGAAAATCTGGTGCATTCAAGTCATCGGTAACTGTAACATATGCATACTGGTATCAGGCACCAATCCATAACACTTACCTCATTCTAAGATCCGGCAAATTCATGTCAAAATCAGTCTTTTTTCGTGCACCTGTCTTTTGACTTTATATGGTTTCCGTCCTGACTAGTTCCGTAGGCAAGAACTTTCGTTCGGAACAGTAAACGTGCACGTTTGATGCAATAGGTTTCGGATAAATGGCATGCTATTCTTAGACCTGTTTTTCTACTGGTAATCTGGTTGCTACCTGTTCTGTTTTCTCCAGGTGACATGCGCATGGATGCTTCTTCTTTGACCAAAAGAAAATACTATTATGCTCTCTTTGAATGGAATGTCTGGGGTCGTTGTACTTGCTTCGGTCATGCCGTTCGCTGCAAGCCTAAATCCAAAGCAGAGGTGATCAAACCGGAAAAGGTGGGTTCCCACTTTTTTATACTATCGCTACCATCCGAATTTCGCACGAATGTTCCTTGTTTCGAAAAAGCACTGAATGTAACAAATGGTCATTGAGATTGAGATAGGTAACTCATCAACTGTCACCTAAACGAATCTATGGACTGTCAGTCGTTTGCATCACTTCTTTCCATGTAAAACGGTATCGAGTGAGACAAAAACCCACGGAAGCCAAAGAGTACGGCCTGATTTGCGTTTTCCAAAGTGCATAGCACTTAAACTCCTCCACCAATTTGGGTTTCAGATCACAAAATATACCCATGGAGTCTGAAAGTGACAAAAAGAGGTCCGTTTATTCGATAACTCTCGCCTGGCCAATATAGTATCACAGATACAAATCCAGTGAAGAGTGATCATGCAGTTCAGAGGCCGCCGATGTAACAGATTGCGCGGCCGAATTCAAAGGTCTCGCCAAAAGCGGACTCATAAAAGTTGGTAATTTGCCTTTGTGTTGTAACTGCAGCAAAGGCTTCGTATTATAGGAGAAACAGAACTCCTCGGCTTATGGTAATCGACGCGTTAGCGTTTCAATCAACATCTAACTTTGAAGTCAATTGTTGCGTAAGTTGTGGAAGAAAGTAGAACACCGGGACCGGGAATCAGTTCAATGGGTTGGAGCTAATCTATCTATCTATCTATCTATCTATCTATCTATCTATCTATCTATCTATCTATCTATCTATCTATCTATCTATCTATCTATCTATC